GAGATATTTTAACATGCAAATTCTGCTCAGTTTGGGGACCTCACATAGGTTCTATTTGCAATCTTCCGGCAAATGATGTGTAACACAGGACCACAGGCTAAGTATGGTCCAGTTAAAACAGAACCAGGTTATCAGAAACAAGGCACTCAGCTGTATGCATGTGCTCATGCGCCAATGAGCTCACTACCACTGAGAACTATAAAGGTGGAAAATTTCCAGAGTTACTTATTTCAGAGTATAGCCATTCCTTTTAAAAAAATAATAATAATAATGGGCATCTTTCATAACATTCAGTAAGAAGAAGGAATTAATTATTGCTACATGGTACAAAACAGATGAAATAAGCAACTAAGCCAGGCAAAAGAAGCCAGCCACAAAGATTACATATTGCATGACTTCATACAAAATGTCCACAATGGAGAAATCTACAGAGACAGAAAGTCAATTAGTGGTTGCCTAAGGCTGATGATACTGAGAAAGGGAAAGGAATTACCAATGGGTTCATGGCTTCTTTGTGGGTGATAAAAATGTTATGGTATTCAACAGTGGTGATGGCTCCACAACCTTATGGATATGCTAAAAATTAGTGAACTGTATGTTTTAGATGCATTTTAGAATGTACATTTTTTTCACAATAAAGCTGCAATTTAAAAAGGTTTTCGTATGAGAATTCCATTTCCAGAGAGAATTGCGAAGTGGAATAGTAAGACGGTCAAGAAAGACAAAGCAACAGAGTTATTGACAGTGTTTCTCTCAGATAGCGATCAGACGATTTTCTCTGCCCAACATAATATAAAGTGGGCTAGAAAGATGCCCATTATGTGGAATCACAGTACTGATATATGATGCAATTGTATTCAGTACACTAAAAGTTCACCTATCCGGCTGACAGCTACTGATTCTGTCATACCTCACTCTTGTGATCAGTTCAAGACACCCTGGGCATACAAAACAGAAGTTGCATGTAGAAGTATGGTTATTTATACTATAGTATTAGCGACTATAATTATGGTCATATAATAATCATATAAAATGGAGTAGAAGCATAAGCACAAACTAGCATTAACACATCTTTAATCAAATATTTAAGAGATTCCAAGAACTGGCCAGCTGCTATCTAATTAACCTCAACTAGTACCAAAGCACAAACATACTTCTCTATCACATAAGTACCATGAAAGCTGCCAGTATTTTGATGTGATTTTCTGAAAGACTAATGATACCTAAGCAAAAACGGTGTTTTCCCACATCATTTCCTCTAACAGACTGAATCAGTCAGTTCCCCATCCTATTTTACTTTAACAATCATATTATGGAATCAAGCCACAGACCAACGGAGTCCTCACTCGGGGGTCATCAATTTCACACAAGCTCATATGGGCCATTTTTGTTAAGTGTATTGTTTTGTTCAAGCTACTAAAACTAAACACCACAGACTGGTTGGCTTAAGAAGCAGGCATTTATCTCTAACAGTTCTAGAAGCTGATAAGTCTTAGGAAGGGATTATCAGTCTGATTGGTCTCTGGGAAGGGCTCTCTTCCTAGCTTGAAGACAGCTGCCTTCTTGCTACATCTTCAAATTGTGGAAAGAAAAACAGAACAGTGGTCCTGGAAATGATCCTATCAAGAAGACCCCATCCTTGTGACCTTATCTAAACTTAATTACCTTCCAAAGGTTCCACTTCACAATATCATTAACTCAGGGGTTAGGACTTCACCATGTGAAACTTGAGGGGACACAAATAGTGCACAACAATAAGAAAAGATGCAGCTTAAAAATAACAACTATTGTACATATGAGGGTTGAACAGGAGGAAACTGTTTTTCTTTTTTTCTTTTTTTAAATTTTTTATGATGCAGCTCCATAGGCTCAGGGATTTCCCTCTCTCCCTCTCCTCTCCCCACTCTCCTCTCCACCACTGATTTCCTCCATATTATTACAATAGCATAATCCTTCAACAATAGTCACAAACCCATTATTTTGCTATTTAATTATGTCCTGACATTGTAGATATAGACAATAGTAGATCCTATTGTCAAGATATATTAAAGATATATCAAGATATATTAAACAGTTTCACTGGGAGCCCACCTTTTAAATAAATTTTAGTAACATATATACATGTTGGCTAATGACTATAGTGCTAGATTTTTTTTTACATGAGAGCAAAATCATTTACAAATATCCCCCTCTGATTCTAATAATGACAGATACCAATAACAGGTATTCTGGAAATGATAGACTAGTTCATAATTATTGATCTTTTAAATCAAAGTACCCAAGAGCCTAGCTCTAAAGCACTTCGGTTGTGAATGAATCCAAGAAGAGTAAAAAAAAGAAAATTCAACAGTTTAATTCAACCCAAAACTTTTTTTAGAAATGATAACTCCAAATATTTCTGGGTCTTTGAATTCACACTATGAACTACTAAAAGTGGTGTGAGCCATCTATTTACTGAATATAAATCTAAATCATTATATCAAAATAATATCAGCATATCTAAAAACATCCCAAAAGGTGACATATTAGCTGAGAGACATTAGTTTGTTATATAAACTCCAAAATGCATAGTTTTGGACTAGTATCATATACAATTCTTGAATTCATTTTCAACACAGCAAATAATGTTCCATATTGTTATAAATACACAAAAATATACACTTAAATAAGAAACTGATGGACTTACGACTGCTTATGAAGGACTATACTATAATAATAACATGAGGAGAATCAGGGTGTGGGAATTTGGGGGGTGGGAAAATCTCAGATCCTATGGAATTGTACCATAAAAAATGTAAAAAAAAAATACAATTGTTCCAAATTGCTAAGGATTTTTAAAGGGTTTTTCTTATTATAGGGCACTAAAAGTTTTGTTTTTTAAAGCTGCAAAATATGAAAAGCATAAAGGCATTATTTTCATATTACAGTAGATCTCTGGAAATCCCAACAAAAATCTATTTAGAGAAGTGTATTTGAATGTATTTAAAGGGAAAAAAAATGCCTATGTTTGGCAACAAGGGAAATAAGCATACGATGTCATCCATTTGCTATGTTGTTTATTGTGTACATTATTCCATTCTCCCACAACTCCCTTGGCACCACATAGACTTATTTCCTTTTATTTCCAATGCATGACTTTTCTCTGTTTGAAAGACTTACAAAACCACGCTTCCCAGAGTAACTTGCCTTATAACAAAATGCACAAAGCTTTGGAACTCAAACTCTGAGCCTCAACTGGAGTTACTAGAATTCAGCTGTTGCAGGTATATTTGAGTAGGTCAAATCCTTAAAGAACAAGGATCCAAGGATACCACAAGTAATATGGATACAGGGCAATGCTGTGATTCAGCTACACTTTTAAGAAACCATGAAAGACCTCAAATAAGGAAAAGATCTAATATAAGGGCACTGTGCCTATGAATTCCTGGATCCAGGGAAAACTACAAAAATGTAAAAGACTTAACAGAAGTAACATTCGCTAATATCCAGTATTTATTATGACTTTAATACATGCCTTGTCTTCTATCTCTTAAATTTTTTTATTCAAAACATAAGAAAAATTTCTCCTAATACCATCTTTCTTCAAAATCAAAGTTACCAATGAAGAAAACTAGCTAATTAAATATATGTACACATACACATATATTTGCAATCCAATGAGTGTGTGTTTAAGTGTGTATATACCTGTAAACAGATACATGTAGGCTGTAGAAATAAAACTACAGCCACTTATTACTACTCAGTAATCTACAAACTTAAGTAACTGTGACAATACTGCAATTCAACACCATGCATCTTGCCTGGTATCTAGCTGGTTTTCGGTAAATGTTAAATGAACACTGACTGCATTTGAAACATAGGCTTTCCTCTAATAATGAGCATTCAACATTTCGTTCAACGAGGCACGTTCTCGCTTTTCTGTGTTCTCCAAAACACACACACACAAAACACTAGACACATATAGCCTCAATCACAACTCCTCTTGAAAACTGCCCTCGTGACAAGAGCTGGAAAATAAATATTACAACAGTGGAATGGGATGGGATGACACTTAGGAAAATTCCAAAACACTTAAAATTCTTCCAAATATAACCCTATGGTGCCAATTATCTTGGTCTCCACAGGATTTCGCCAGTGCTTACAAAAAGTAACCTATTCCTATTTTGAAAGTTTGTTCTTTTCCATAGTATCACATTTAATCATTAACAATCTTTTTACATCCACATAAATGCCACATACGGGAATTTCCATTTGAAAAGGAGCTACATATTTACAAGTAGTGCCCATGGTGCTCAACAAATCTGAGGGCAAAAGAATACTGATTGTGTCATTCCTCATTTAAAAAGTACAGCTAATTCCCACGCTAAGGGACAAACGCTGTTGTCAGCCACTCTTTACAATTGGACTTTTCTCCCCAAAACCAGTATACCCAAGTTCGCTGTGTGTGCTTTGGAGGTTTGTTGTTGCATCTTGTCCTAAGTCTGTACTTCGAACTGAATATAGGAAAAAGAGTGGGTTTTCTTTTTGTATGGGGAGTTAAAAGATACTGAAGGCAACACAGAGTTCAACTTCGCAGGGCTGTTTTTTACCAGCAAGCAGGTCGGTGCTCCGTGAGAGTCACCCTTAAATCAGGTATCAAAAAGAGTTCTTTCAAAAAACGATTTTATATAGCTAGAATGGATGGGAGGGCAAAAACATATCTTTAACAAAGAACGGAACATCCCTGCCAGTCCCAAGCAAGAAAATCTTATTTGTCAGCCGGGCCAGCGCTGCACCCTGACACCCTGGAGGTGAGCAATGGTGCGTCCAGCCTCAGACATGCAGCAGGGACTGTCTGGGGAGGTTGACCTCGCTGGGGCAGCGCACCCTCCTCGGGCCGGGAGAGCTGTATGAGAACTCTGCTTCCAGTTGGGCAGCTGCAGTCGGCCGTCCCCGCTCAACTCCATGGCAGCTACCCGGGCCTCCCGCACCCATGCCCCGCACTCCCCGCGGCGGCTTACCAAGCAGCGAGCCTACGAAAATGACGACCTGCACGGTGGTGGTGAACTGGCGGTAGAGCTGCGCCTCGCCCAGCTCCCCGGGCGCGGTACGGTTCGCGCCCACCGCCACGGCACCCGACGTGTTGAGGGGCTCGCTGCCGTTCCGCGGGATCGAGCTCCCATTATGCCCCATGGCGATCCCCAGGCGCCAGCTCCGCACGCTGCCGAGCGCCTCTCCTCCCGTGGGCGCCCAGGGATACGCGGGTGCCTGGCCGAGTCCTGCAGAAGCCGGGGCAACCGGCGGGTCCCCTCACGTCTCCACATCGCCAGCCCCGACACCCGGGAGGCGGGGAGGCGGGGAGGCGAGGCCGCGCCCCTTGCCTGCTCCCTCTAGGGCTCCTGTCAGCGGCCACATGAAGGCGGATCAGGGGCCAAGCCGAGGGGCGTCGTCCCGTCCCCTCTCCAGGGGCAGCCAGACCCACTCAGCAGAGGGGGCGACTCCGGAGGCCTGTGACGGCCAGGGATGGCGCTCTCGCCCTCGTCACCCCCTCGGCCTGGGCTCACTCCACCCCGCGAGGGCCACGGCAGCCCTCTCCAGTGTCCCTGGGCTGAAGGAGCACGGTCCCGTCCTAGGACGGCCCCTGAACGCCTGGCGGGAGCTATTTCTCAACCTTAAGACTGGAAAGCGGGGAAGCCCATGAAAGGCACCCCCACGGTGCCCGTGGCCAGTACACCCTGAGTTTCCTCAACAGCCTTTCCCTGAGGGCCCGGCTGTCCCACGATAGTCTCCTTCGGTCCGACCCCTGGCTGACGGCTCCGACCTCCCGCCAACTGCAAGGGCCCCGTTCTGCAGTCCCTATTTGCCTCTGCCCAGCCAGCCCTGACCCCCCTCCGTCTCTCGGTCGCTGGGGAAGAGCTTCGTAACCGGGTAGGAACAAGGTGGAAGGCCCGTGGTGGGGATGGGGAACCATCTGCGCCGCCGGCAGCCTCCCGGCGCGCGCCTCAGGCGGCCGGGGCCGCGCGGCTGGAGGGGGTAGTCACGTGACGCGCGACTCCGCCCCTCACGCTGCCGGGGACAAGGCGCCATTTTGGCCCTGTAGAGCGTGACTGACTTACTTGGGCGGCGAGCGTGGGAGGCGTAGAGTGTTGGTGTCTGGCTGCAGTGAAGGCGCTTGCGACTCCTCCCTGGCTCTGCTTCATTGATTATAGTCGTCCCTGCGTGGTGTAGAGTCTTCAGGGACTACCTACAAGCCTGGGTAGGAAGTCCAGTCTCGTGGCACCTCGGTCAAGTCTTGGATGTACTTGAACCATTTAAGAAAGCTGGACCGTGGGAATCCCATGCCTGTTTTTTTGTTTGAGCCGATTTGTTGCCTGTCGTTTCTCAAATGTATTGAATGTCTCACAGGCCCTAGGATTCTAGCATGAAAAGCTGGGAAGAAGCAGCTTCCTTCAGGTCTTTGCAAAAGATTGGCAAGCTAGAGTAAGAAGTAGTGAAGAGAAGCCAAAGGGGAAAGGGGACATGTACAGCCTCAGAGCAGGGTTCTGGAGGAAGAGGAAAGGTGAACTGAGAAAGGAAAACGATAAGGAAGAAACAAAGGTTTCTTTGTCTTGCCTATATGGACACAAAGCACATGACAGAGAGCTTTGGCCTCTGTCAAGGGATTGATTGACAGGACTAGCCCCATGGACTGTGTCTCAAAAATTGATTAAGATTGCAGTTATTTCTTGATTATCCCAGGGATGAATCTCCTACAGTGTGGCTGCTCTGCCTCCCTTCTTACCACTTTGGAAAGGGCAAAAATCCATGACCTCAAACACTTAGAACTGGGAGGCCAAACCCTTTTCAAGATGAAACCCTCTATATGTAAAACAAGTTATTATTCAACATCGAGCTTATTCCTTTGGGAGTAATGTGTATACACAGAGTTGTTTGGTTACAGTTGTAAAAATACCCCTTTATCCACTTTTACCTTCCACCACCTATTCAAAACTAGCAGTTTCCTAGTAATAATCATTAGGAAAGAGTCCATGTTGCTAATATAAAGAGTGAACAAACTGCAAAACCTTTGCCACATATTCATTCTGAAAAAATACCTCTAAATTATTTAGAGGCCTTAAAGCAGTGTTAGGATACAGATTTAGGAGAACCAAGAAGTAACTGGGTTATTCTCAAATCTGAGGAAAAATTTCCTATGAAAATACAGGGCCAAGAAGCAGGATAGGGTGACGTGATTCTCATGGCTGTGTATTATATGAATTTTTCACTGATTTCAATTGTGAGTCAAAAGGATTACGATTGATGTGTAGTGTAAGAGATTAGAGCTTGTTACTGTTTGGATGTAGTTTGTGTCTCAAGGGTTCCTATAGTGGAAGCTTTGTCATAGTATGGAAGTGTTGTGGTAAGGAACTGTTAAGCTTTAGGAAATGGTTAGGTCTAGGCACTAAGTTCAGAAGAATTTAAGGTAGTTCTCATGGAAACTGAGTACCTTCAACTGTTTTTTGATGATGATGATGATGATGGTGATGATGATTTTTACATAGTTGATTATGAAAGTAGGTGAGATCATTATTTCCATATTCTCTTTTTTCCTGCCTGTATCTGAGGGAAAGGGGAAGATTAGGGGAGAAGTTACACCCAGCCTTCCAACCAGCCCAGGTTCCCCGACATGGGACATGCTCCAAGGGTCCTGCTCAAGTGGTTTTGATAGTTCAACAATTCTGAAGTGCTGCCAATCTTACCACTTCAATCACAATGACATCTCTCCATAATCTGCTAGTTGACATGCCAGTAACTCTAAGTCTTCTTGTGCTCTAAGGTGAGAAGAAACTCACTTTAGAGTCTTCGTTTGCCCAGATATTCACTGCCAACACTTGCCTGGAATTGGTGATTGATTTGTTCTGTCCTCTATCCTTTGTTATGGTACCAGATGTCCTCTGCAGACTCCAATGTACTGCCATATCCTCCATGTACATCTGGATATGGTGTCTATTGCTCCATCTAAGCCCACTGAGGAGGTCCAGCTCTGACAAAAGCACTCTGTGGTCAGACCATGGAACCTGCACTTCTCTCGATGGCTAGGGTTCGGAGTCCAGCAATTCAGCTAGGGGGATCCCCAAAGAAACGTCATCTGAGGTGATCCCAGACCTGGTTCTTGTGTGTGCTTGCCAATACAGTAAGGTCTGGCACGGTCTGTCACCCCAATCAGCCTATGCACACGCTGGTGGTTGCAATTGCTGGGTCAATTCTATCTCCAGCCCTGTCTTCTACACAAACCATTGGGTGTTTCAGTCCAGCCTGATGTTGCCCACCACACACTTGGTCTTCAAGTAAACCAGCAGAAGCTGCAGCCTAGTCAGAGTGACCTCCAATAATTCCCACCAGGCCTGTCCGCTGCCCTGGTTCCCATGCCTGCCAGTATGTACAGCAGACTTGTCCAGTCTGTCCCACATCCCTTTCAGGTCTCATATGCGTCAATGGGCATTGAAGCCTAGTTCAACCAAACTGGCCTCACTATCCAGTCCACTCATGTGCTGGTGGGTGGCACTCTCTGTCTGGCCATGCCTGCCCCAGTTCTCAGACTCACCAGTGGGAGTGGCAACCCAAGAGGAAGGTGCCCACTGGTTTTTAATGGGTCCACTCCCATTCAGGAGTGGTTTGCGCAATGCCCTCAGCAAGTGCTAGTACCACACTCTGGTGTACAGATGGTGCTTCTATGTCCTCACATAGTGGGAGAGTACCCCTTGTACTAGTGCCCCTTTTGCAAGGGCACTAATCACATTCATAAATGCAGTGCTGCCATGGTCTGGTCACCTCCCAGGGCACCATGTCCTCATTTTATCACCTTGGTGATAGGTTTCAGCATATGACTTTGAAGACGATGCAAATTTAAGACAACAGCAGTTGTTGGGTTGATATCAGCCGGCTGATATTAACCCTCAGCAGCTATCAGGTACACAGCTGTAGATGAAGTCAATGATTAGAATCATTAAGTGCATTTATGTGGTTGCTCATTTTTATCCAGAAGTTTCTGAAGCTATCGTAATAGCAGATAATTGTATTAAGAGATGCCCAAATAATTAAGCAAATAGTAAAACATCATTTGGGCTGTGTTTCTGGGTGTGTTTCTGGGAGAGATTAGCATTTCAATCAGTAGATTATAAGAGGATCTGACCTCACCATTCTGTGTGGGCATCATCCAGTCCCCCGGAGTCCACTTGAAAAGAACAGCAAAGCAGAGAAAGGGCAAATTTTCTCTGTCTCTCTCAGCTGGAATATTATTTTCCCTACCACTGGACATCAGTACTCCTGACTTTTGGGGATTAAGATTCATGGAAAGTGTGTATACAAAAACATAGTGCACATAGATTTAAAAATTTGTTTGCACCAAAATAAACTTGATCTATTTTTAGTATTTACTTATTTATTTGAAAGAGTTACAAAGAGGGAAGGAGATACAGAGCAAGAGAAATCTTTCCAATGGCTGCCAACAGCCAGGGTTGAGCATGCCAAAGCCAGGAGCCAGGAATCAGGAGTTTTATCTGGGTCTTCCACATAAGCAGCAGTGGCCCAAGCACTTGAACCATTTTTCCACTGGTTTCTCAGGCACATTAGCAGATCACTGGATGGGAATTGGAGCAACCTGAACACAAATCACCACACATATGGAATGGTAGTGTTGCAGGTGGTGGCTTAACCCACTATGCCATAGTGTCAGCCTCTAAAGTTTATCTTTTAGGTCTACTTTCCATGAATGTTTTGAAGTGACCTTGTCTATGTGTGTAAGTACTTGTGTACATGCATACCTGAAGAATTCTTTACAAGTTTCTGGAAAATGTCTTGAAAAACTATACTTGGATTTCAAAAGTTTGTATAACAAAATCAATTTATTTTTAATGCTATTTTCCATAGACTTTTTGAACTATCCTGATGTGTGTGTGTGTATTAGTAGTAGTGGTGGTAGTAGTAGTTATGTATCACTTAACAACATGAATATATTATGAGAACTATATCACTAGGCAATATAGTTTGTGGATATCAGAGTATATTTGTGGATATTAAGACATTTGTCATGTTAATATATATAATCTCTTTTTTAAAATTTACTTATTCCCCAGCTGTAGGTAACTATCTAGGTTGGATTGTATCTAGGCAAGTGTCACACTGCTGGGAGAAAAGCAGATAATAGCTGATGGACATCCTGGGCCTGATTAATGCCAAATTTGTGTTAACTCTACCAGTATGCCAGCATAGATGCCTATTTGTTTAAGATATGTT